CCCCATCCACTATTTTGATAATCAAATTGCCTGCAGCAATTTTCCTTCTTTTATTTGGCCAAACTAGTTCCCTCAAATGATAGTAGAAATGCTGGGTGGAACAGTAAGTTTGTCGTCTTTTATCTCCTGTCAAATTAATGGTGTAAAACATGCTTACTGTAGCTGGTATTCATAGAAAAGTACTGGCTCATCTTTTAGTTGGAATCAAGAGATTTTACCCCCTCAATAATGCTTAGTTTTATACTGGTTTACTGATAAAACCATCCTAAAGGAATCCACTAGGCTAGTAAACCAGTCAAAGGAGGAAATTAGGCTGGTTTGGCATGATTTGTTATTCACAAATTCATGCTGACTATTTCTTAGAACCCTATTATCCTCTAAGTGCTTACAAACTGATTGTTTAGTAATTTGTTCCAATATCTTTCCAAGTCCAGGTATCAAAATTAGGCTGATTGGTCTATAATTCCCGGGGTCCTCTTTGTTCCCCTTTTTAAAAACAGGTACAATGTTTGCTCTTCTCTAGTCCTTTGGGACCTCACCCATCCTTCAGGAGTGCTCAAAGATAATTGCTAAGAGTTCTGAGATTGCTTCAGCTAATTCCCTAAGTATCGTAGGATTAATCTAATCAGGCCCTGACAACTTGAATACATCTAATTTATCTAAATATTCTTTAACTTGTTCTTACCCTATTTTGGCTTGCATTCCTTTCTCCTTGTTAATATTAATTTTGTAAAGACTGAAGCAAAATAGGCATCAAACACCTCAGCCTTCTTAATGTTGTCAGTTATTAGCTCTCCTTCCCCACTAAGTGGAGGACTTACACTTTCTTTTGTCTTTCTCTTGCTCCTAATATATGTAAAGATCCCCTTATTACCACCTTTTATGTCCCTTGCTAGGTGCAACTCATTTTATGCCTTAGCCTCTCTGATTTTGTCCCTACACACTTGTGCTATTCTTTTGTACTCCTCCTCAGCAATTTGTCCATATCTCCACTTTTTGTAGGATTCTTTACTGATCATCAGGTCACTAAAGAGCTCCTAATGGAGCCATATTGGCCTCTTAACATTCTTCCTATCTTTCCTTCGCATCAGGATAGTTTGGAGTTGTGCCTTTAATATTGTCTCCCTAAGAAACCGCTAGCTCTCTTGAACACCCTTTCCCCTTAGATTGTCTTCCCATGGGATCTTACCTACCATTTCTCTGAGATTGTTAAAGTCTGGTATTTTTAAGTCAATTGTCCTCTTGTTCCTTCCTTTCCTTAGAATCATTAAATCAATCATTGCCACTCCATTTTCCGCTGCTCTACTCTTCACCTTCTCCTCATCCCATCCCATCTCTTCTCTCCCTTCTTCTGTTAATACCATTTCCTACCACTTCCCCTGCAAAATAAATAAATAAATCCTCTGAAAAAATAAGCAACGCTAGCCTTCATCCCTGCCATTTACAGGTAGGCTGTATCCCTTCCCAAATAACCAGTCTGTATTTTTTTAATTTTTTAGACTCTGAACTCTTTGGCACAGGGACCCTGTTCTTACTCTGTATGGCACCCAGTACAATGGGATCCCATCCCAATAAATAAAACTGTCTGCAATGCAGACTGTTTCCATAATACAATTTCTTGTTTTAAATATACAGATTTAATCAAAATATAATTTGCATAATGTTTGTCAACAGGAATCATGGGAATCCCTTTTTCTGTAAAAGGAATTGCAGATGGATGGATGTAAGCAAGGAAGCTCTCTCATACTTAGGCTTGGAAGGATTGGATTTTTATCAATAAATGGCCATAAATGTCATTTCAGTGAACACACAAAATGATGAAAAAATATTTCCATAAATTGTCATAGAAATTTATAGATAAGCAAAGCAAGAAAAATGCTGCTTGAGAATTTATTAGAGTCCCACCTTACTGTATACAACATGTTGTAATGAATGTTGCAAAAAGCACACATTTACAGGTCTGCTAAAACAGCCAGCTTATAAAGCTTTAACTTTTTGAATCTCAGTGTCTGGCATTAAATAATTGTCTGAGCTACCACTAACTTCCTACAACTGTGAAAATTTAGATACTAATAGAAAAAATGCTTAAAATGAACAATATCATCAATAAAAATGGTAAAGAGACAAAACTTAAATTCTATCAAGTCTACACCAGCAATGCTTAGAAGTCAGGAGATTTCCAGTTGGTGTCAAGCCCCTGCTACTGTAGCTTGGACTGTAAAACAGTTGGACATAAAGTTCCAAAGAAAGTTTCCTAAACACTGTTTCCTAACAACTATATTCAGACCTTTGACTGAATTCGCAGAATAAATTCATTTATCTGGATTTAAGTGCAGAGTGCTTTGAAATGGCACAAACATAGAAATCTGCCTTTTTTGTTGATATATAAATTGCCAGTCTGTGTGCCAAACTACAGGATTTGTCCAAAGATGAGTTTGATTCAAAGGTTTCTTGAGGGCGGAAGATCAGGAGACTGCTGAATCCAATGTTACCATAGACTAGGGTCTAGTTAATATAATACTCCCCCTTGGTTACTAACTACTACCCCATCCAAAAATTCCACATTTTGATAATCAAACTGCATGCAGCAATTTTCCTTCTTTTATTTGGCCAAACTAGTTAGCAAATTCCCTCAAATGATAACAGAAATGCGGGATGGAACAGTAAGTTTTTTGTCTTTTATCTCCTGTCAAATTAATGGTATAAAACATGCTTACTGTAGCTGGTATTCATAGAAGAGTACTAGTTCATCTTTTAGTTGGAATCAAGAGATTTCACCCCTCAATAATGCTTAGTTTTGTACTGGTTTACTGATAAAATCATCCTAAAGGAGTCTCTTTGTGAATTTCAGCATAACTTTAAAAATGGAAAATCCCATCTAACTCATCTGCAGAAATTGTTAGTCTCTGCTCTTTAGAGATGGACTCTTTCTTTAGTGTTTTATCCTTCCATGTTATTCTTGTGTTTTAAGAAGACACTGTTACATGAGAAAACAGAACAAAGCTTGCCAATGTGCAAATCTCTAACAGTGATAGGAAAATCCTTACAGGATGGGTCAAAAAAACAGGCTAACTCTCTTAAAGAAACTTGCATCCAAGTGTAAAGCAGAGAAGCTTTGGGGTTTATTCTCTGTAATGGTTCATATTACTTCTATGATTAATACTATGAATATCAGTTTTTAATCATTTTTATATTTCCAAACACCTGCAAGTAACAAATAGTACATTTCTGGGGATCACCCAGTAAGGGGTTCTGTCAGCACCTGCTTTGAAGCTTTGGATGCCTTAATGCTATGCTGTTATGGATTAGAGTTCTGACACCAGTAGCCAGCCTACAAGTTTAAAATCTCAACCCTGGCTTCCACCTACCCTTTTATTTCTTGCAGGGTGACCTCACTAACCCTTCTGATCCCAAGCCCCCCCAAATCAGTTTCCCTGATTTCTTAACTACCAGATATTCAGACTTTTGCCCTCTAGTTTGTCATGCCCCAAAGAGTAAAACCTGAACCCAGTTCGCAGTTCACTTAGGGACACATATTCCACACAGTTTGCATACCAGAGACTTGCTTGGGATAAAAAAAACAAAACAAAAAAAATTTAATAGAAAAGAAATCATAGATTCAAAGATGAAATAGTAAGGAAAAGCGAACACATACAAGTTACACAGAACATAAAGACAAAATCTCAGGCTTTACATTTCTATATTAGCTAAATTTCCTTTTCTAATACACCTTTCCTATTGCCTCTGAACAGTTTCCAAGCATGCTCTATGTCCTAGATGGCATCCAATCTTTCAGGGACAGCACCCTTGCTTAAATGCTGGCCTTCAGTTTCTGGATACATTTCACTTTTAACAGGACCTTAATGGTCCAGTATTGTCTTTCCCTAGGTTGTAGGATGCTAGGTGCTTGCACTTAGTTTTGTGAAAACAACTAGCCTGGGCCCTACCTGATTATTTCATTCCCTGTTGTGAGATGAAACTGCAGTTGCATCCTAGTTACAATTACAGTGTTTTACAAGTGACCTGTACGCATCTCCTAATGACTCCCAAGTACAGATCATTACAAGCTCTCATAAAAAAGACCCCTTACTTTACAAACTCAGTAACATTGTACACGATCTCTGCAGGTTCAGCCCTGCTGTTCACCCATAGGGTATCTGGACCTGTTTGTCACAATTTCGGAGTGGTAATTGAGTAGCTGCTGATTAATGTCTTCCTTACTAAGCTACTTTATTTCTCAGTCAGTTTCACAACATACAGCTGAAAAGAGAAGTGCTCCCTGGAAGGTTCTATAAAGTTGCACTGGTTTGTATTTCTGACTTAAAAAAACAAAACAAAAACAAAAACCACCACCACTGAAGGCACCAGGATGCAAATGTCCCCTCTCCCAATTTCTTGGGCCAAAATAAGGTTTTCATCCTTCCCTCAGACTTCCATTTTCAACTCCTCTCATATTCAACTCTCTCACTCATTTTCTGAGCACCCTGAAAAAGATTCCCACTTAGCTGCTTCAGAGTGCTCTACAGGTGCTACATCCTTCTCCCTGGCCCACCAAACAAACATTCAGCCTCAGAGACTAGTGAACAGAACCGAGTTTCCAGCTGCATAAATCGCTGGCGTTGGAGGGAAGGTGTAAGTGTCACCGCCCAGGTGAAAATCCGGCACAATCCCAAAGGGGCAAAGAACGTAAGGGGGGCGGTCACCCACTGGGTTTTGCCTTACTGTAAAGCTAAGTGTCACTGGAGGATGGTTAAAGGGTTAACCCACTGAGAATCAGACAGGCTGCCCGGTCCCATCCATTGTACAAACCTCTGAGGCAAAGCTCGAAGGACAGAGCAGGCCTGTGGCACGGGTCTGATAAAGTCACTGCTGCCTCTAACTGCTGGAGAAGTCTCCTGTGATTTAACCCTCTGGAGACTCTTTTCCAGTCCAGTCCCCATCCAGGATAACTCGTCGCCAAAGCCATCCCCGCTCCCCGGCCCCTGTGCCCCCCGGCTCACCTTGATGAGCTTGCAGCGGATCTGAGCGGAGACCATGTGGCTGTTGCGCAGGTTGCCCACTCGGAACATGAGGCACAGCCTGCCGTCCCGCTGGGATATGACGGCGGCCCGGCTGAACATGAGGGTTTCGGCTCGCTTCTTGGGCTGGGACATCTTGATGAACATGCAGCCGATGAGGAAGGCGTCCACGATGGAGCCGAGCAGGGACTGGAAGAGGAAGAGCACGATGCCCTCGGGGCAGCGCTCGGTGATGTAGCGGTGCCCGTAGCCGATGGTGGCCTCGGTCTCGATGAAGAAGAGGAAGGCGGAGGGGAAGTTGTACACGTTGGCCACGCAGGGGTAGTAGCTCTGGTCGTGGGCGCGGTGCAGGTCGCCCCGCAGGTAGGCGATGCCCCACCACATGGAGGCCATGACCAGCCAGGCCACCGTGTAGGTCAGCAGGAAGATGAGCAGGTTCCAGCGCCACTTGAGGTCCACCAGCGTGGTGAAGAGGTCGGAGAGGTAGCGGCTGCTCTCGCCGCCCAGGTTCCCGTGCTGCACGTTGCAGCGCCCGTTCTTGTCCACGAAGCGCTGCCGCTTCCTGCGGGCGCTGCCCCGGGCGGAGCCCACTGCCTGGTACTCGTCCCAGAGGTGTCTGCGCACTGCCGACATGCCGCGCCGAGGGCCGGAGACCCAGGGGCGGGCCGGCGGATAGCTCCCCGGCTAGACAGGCCCTTTGTCTGGGGCGCCCCGCGCAGGGCTGCCTGCAGCAGCGGAGTCCGGGAGCGCAGGGATCTCTCCCCTGCGGGGGGCGAACGGTGCCCGCCGGGGGTCCGCCTTTTCTTTGTCCGGTACGCCTCGGAGCCGGGCTCCGCTCCCTGAGCGCCCCACCTTCCCGGGAGCGCTGCCTCCCGTCGGCGCTGCAGCCCAGGAGCGGAGCAGAGAGAGGCTCAGCCCGCGCGGCCGAGGCTCGGCAGGTTGTGGAGTCCGCAGGAAAGTGGCTGAGATGTGAACGTTGGGGGCGGGGAAGGGCTGTCACCCCCCCTCCCTACCCGTGTCTGATCTGCGCCCCCCAAGCCTCTGCACCTATCAGCGAGCGCAGCTCCTGCTGTCTGATCACCTGGGGAGGAGGCACGTCCAGATTCATGAAGCCACGGACCGGGGAAGAGAGCTACCCAGCTGCAGAGAATCCGGAGTAGGGCTGAGCCGGGGCTTCCCCTCACGCTGGTTATCAGAGGGGTGGGGGAAGTGAAGAATTTCTGATCCCCCACCCGGTCTGACTCTCCGGGATTTATTCTGCGGGGTGTGAATCCATTCTAGTTGGGATGGAGGAACAGGCTGTGCCAGAGACGCAGGGTACAAGCCAATCTGGCGGCGAAACCCACACTAAGGGGCGATTTTTTGCTATCACATATAGTAGAAAACACGGCAAACATAAGAATAAGCGCCAGGGACACAGCTTAGCCTTTCCTGCTCTTACTGTAGTCAGAGCGCTAACTCGCGACGCTGGCATCCAAATCTGCCTTTAGGTTTCAAACCTGTTACAGTCAAAGTCTAGTTCCGAACATCTTTAACCAAAATGAATTATTACCTACATCATCTCATATCGGTGTAACAACCTGATAGAGTGCTGGCTGCAAGCGATTAGAATAAGAGTGCAGTGAGTCATCCACTGAAAACTAGTCCTGCCGTCAGCATAAGGGACTTTACGGGGAACAAAATAAGATGGCTGGACTCTTACACAATAAAGGGATTTGAACAAGCGAATCCTCTCAGCCAACATTTAAAAATGTTACAAGTGAAGCAAAGTTCAACACATCAACAGTTAGAGGCTCCTGCTTGTGGCTGAAGCGGAAAAGGGACAGTGCAGGAGGTAAGATTGAAGTGTGCAGAAAAGAACTCTCAAGAAGCTTCAAATGATTTCAAAACAGCTTCAGTACCTTCAATCAAGGATGAAAAGATCTGAGATCAGAAACAATTACAAATCTATTACAAGCTATCACAGTGTAGGATAATTAGCTATTTTCTATCTCACTTTTTATGAATATATATATATATATATATATATATATATATATTTGTCAGAAATATTACCAAGAGCCCGATTCAAATACTAAGATTAGTGGCACTTGATTGGATGAATAATTTCAATATCTAATTTTCAGCAAGTGTTTTCTAAAGCAGTTAGAGACACAAATTAATTTGTAATTATAATTAATAGCTGTTTTTTGTTGAAAATTCAGAATGCTAAATAATGTGACTATTTTAGCCTGCTTGGAGTTCAATTTCAGTATTTTCACCCCATCCTGATGGGGATCCAAGTATTTTTCTATTACTTCTATTTCTGACATGTACAGGCTCTCACTTTTGACAGACCTTAATTAAGAGCCATGTAAATGCTTTTCTGCACAGTTGCTGACAGGTACCTTAGGGTATTACCAAGCCTGCTTTCCAAGTATAGGCACAACAGAGATGATTCCTTTCCATCCAAAATAAGCTATTAGTTTTTGGAGTAAATATGAACTGCAAATATTAGCTGAATAATCGATTTTAATTCTGAGTAACAACATTCCCCCATCAACTGGAATAACCTGCTTCATACAAATATTTTCCTTCTCCAGGGATCTCTGTGAGCTTGGGGAAATAATGGCTTTTCCTTGAAAATAGAAGTTAGCAATTCTGAATACAGCAATAGCACCTTTAATTACTTTATGATCGGAGATGTTGACAAAGCTTTCTCCTTTCTCTCTCTCTAATTATTGCCTTTCTAACAGTATTTGACGGAAAACCTTTTCCTGTCTCTCCAGGCAAATGTGTCACCCTTCCAAACAGAGTCTGAATACTAGAACAGGGAGGCTGTACCAGAAGCAAGAACTCCCCCCTTTCTGATCTTACTGTATGGAAAATCATAAATTTTTGTGGCTTTATCTGTGATTTTTAAATATAACACACTGAATATAAATGTATATTTCACATCACTGGAAGACACAGAATTTTAGATGTAGTATAGGCAGCCTTTTACCCAGGATTCTGATTATATATACTCCAAGTCAAACAGATGGTGACCAAAAATCATTAACAGCTAATAGGAACTCAGCAGGTTTTGTCAAATGACATTCCTAGCAGAGGGGGAGTGTTTACATTCTGTCACCAGGTCCCCCTCCCTTCTCCAATGAATAATTATTTATACACTGCGGAACAGTTCCAACAGGAAGGAATGAGAGAAACCCACCCTAGAATACATTATAGCGGTCATTCTCCTAGACTCTAGGAGACCTGGCTCCAAATCAGTGCTCCACATCAAGCAGAGATAGAATTTGGACCTCGGTCTCCCACATGCCAGGTGATGCTCTAACGCTGGGTTACTGGGTTGGGGGGGGCGCAGCAGTATAATCACCAGCGTGGGGAACACCTCGTTTGTGAATCCTGCTGAGGCTGAGACAGGAGACCGGCACGGCGCACTTTCTCTTCATGCACTGCAGGTGTCAGCATCAAGGGATGTTAATCTGGTACTGTTTTGTCAGAACTTCACATTAACGGAAATAGTATGCACAAACAAGTCTCTGTTTTATTACTACAGCCACTAGCATTATTGTAACACGTGCCAGTCGCCTATCCGTACATTAGAAATACATCCGGTTTCCACAAAGAGAACAGCCTCTGTCCCGTTCTCCCTAATAACGGCAGTTCTCTGAGCTGGATCTAATCCAGGGGAGTCCCATTGCCTAGAAAGAAAAGGAGTACTTGTGGCACCTTAGAGACTAACCAATTTATTTGAGCATAAGCTTTTGTGAGCTAGAGCTCACTTCATCCGATGTAGCTCACAAAAGCTTATGCTCAAATAAATTGGTTAGTCTCTAAGGTGCCACAAGTCCTCCTTTTCTTTTTGCGAATACAGACTAACACGGCTGTTACTCTGAAACCTGCCATTGCCTAGAGACATTTCTCTTCTGCTAGGGGAAAGCGTGCAACAAACTATCTAATAGGCACAGAACACATTTCCTAATTACTGTTCTGTTGCGCGTCAGTCAATCTATTCCTGAAGTCTTAAAAGGGATGGATATAACCAGGAATTCCCGTTGGTGGCTTTTATTTGAGGAGTGGGAAAGGCATCCCTATGAAGTGAGCTGTAGCTCACGAGAGCTTATGCTCAAATTTGTTAGTCTCTAAAGTGCCACAAGTACTCCTTTTCTTTTTAGTAAGAAAGTTATTTTAGTTCTACCCTAATTAACAGCGGATGCAAACCCAACACATTTAAACATTATGTACCTAGAATAGTGTTGACAGATGCAGTAGCCTTGAAGGTATGTTTCAAACTACTTAAGAATATTGACATATTTAGCAAAAGATTTTACTTACATACAAGCACGAGCGTGGGTTCTTTGACAGAGGGTGGGTTCGTGAGGAATTAAAGGGATAACAACACTTAAAGATAGTGAACCATAGACTTGTTTGATGATTGGTTACTAATTGCCGTACAACCAAGAGTGTGTCAGACGCTCCATTTAAAGACTTTGTTCAGTGGTATCCAATCTATTCAATGATGGGATAACTTGTGACTCTAGAAAATCGGTATTCAGTTGTGAACTGCAATTGGCCTCCCAGAGCTGCACCTTGTGATTTTTAAGCCTGAAGGGTTTAAATCAGCTCCAGCATGGTCTCCCCCGTCTCTTGTAGCAGCTTTAGGAGCTCTCAGCTGCAGCTATCAGTTCTTTCCAGGCTGCTCAGCAGCGCTCTACTGGCCACCTAGGGCATTTCAAGGTAGGGAGGAGAGTAGCTCTAGTCTAGTTACACCATTGCCTGGTTCCTTGCTGAGCTGTAAGAACTTCAGGTAAAGCAGGATGAGTGCTTGACTGGCTCTCCCTGAGCCTAGAAGACCTCCTAGCAAAAGACTCCTCATCCTCTTCTGCACAGCCCTGCAGGGTAACCCAGCAGAGGATAACTAACCACCATTTTACAGCTCCCAGTTCTCTGGCTCAGTCCAACTTAGAGTTGCCTCCAGACTACTCTGACATGAGCCAGCTAGCTATCAGTCCCTTGGTACCATACACTAGTCAAGGAGAACTGGAAGCATTACACTCTAGCTGTTTTATTTATGGCCCCCTCCAATATGCTCCTTGTATTGGAAGCCCTAGAGATGTAGGGGTCAGCTATGATGGTTGTATGTCCACCAAAGACTCCTCAGCAGATTTCCAGATGATTATTTGTATCTTGTGAGAGGAGTAAAAAAGGACAAAAAAATTTGCCTTTGCTGATTATGGTCCTTTGTCAGTGGACAAGTTATGGGCAGTCTGCCCGTTAGAACTGGTCCAGGAGCACAACTAAGAGTTATAGTCAGGAGTCAGAAACCAAAGCCTAATCTGAAGAGTTAACCAGTCTCACAGGAGACATAGCCAAAGGTCCAAGCCAGGAGTCAGAAACAAAAGCCTAAGCCAAAAGGTTACCTGCAGCCATAGACAGAAGGTGGAGGCACAATCTGAGCCAGACATCAGGGAGGAGCGGGGGGATAGAGACAGTACTATAGAAGAAAAAAAGACCAAGCACAGCTGCAGTTTTGAATGTATTAAGCAATCACTAGACTGTGGCTGCTACTGAGTTTAAAGTATCAATCTGCAGACTCCTGCAGCCAATCAGGTGGTGCAATAAATCAGACAGCTTCTATCAGGACCAGCTGCACTTATTGGGTTGTCAGGAGGCTAGCTTTACTGCAGGCTGGCCCCTGATACCCTTTGACCTTTCCAGGCTGAAAGATTGGCCACCACTGCTTTAAATCACAATAGTCTTTATAACAGAAGCAACCAAATTGAAGATGCGGCATAAGGCCTTTTACGGGTTTGGTTTTATAGGTAGGTTTCCTCCTAGGAACTGAAATTCTTAATTTTCCTCTCCATTTGGAGGACTATGGAGGATTGGAGCACTTTCCAGAAAGCTACCATTTCTTTTTAGTAAAAGGAAAACCCACTATTTACTCTCAGATGAAGAAGGATATTTATGGAAGACTAAATGGCCTATTAAAGGGAAGCCAGCTTATCTCATATGGTGGAGTTTCCCTATTTATGTATGGAAATAGACTGTTACACTGAGTGATGGGATCACAGAAACAATGTCAGACTTATTTATTGTAATAAAGCCAGAACTAATTAATGGAACGATCTTTTGTCCCTTCAATTTCTTTAAGTTGTTGAGCTACTTTATTGTGAAAGTGTGCTGACCACATAAAACATTCTAAGTCTTTGTGAATCTTGTTGACCGGTGGCTTATTTTACATCTACCCAGACCTCAACAATATACATTAACAAGAGCCACTTTAGAATGATGCCAAATATCATCCAGACATGAATGACTGATAGCTATAGGAAATTATGTCCTTAAAGTCTTTAAAACAAATATACAAAAACAAGGGTGGAAAAAGTGCAAGCCACCTAGTATTGCAAGAAGTTCAAATTGGATAACCTTCCCAAATCTCTTTAAAAACTAATAAATCAGGGCCAAAATTTTGTTTGCTTTTCTCTCACCAGTAGTCCCATGAACTTTATTGGGTCTCCTTATCTGGATAAGGCAAACAGGATTTTGCCCATGGTATTTTTAAATGGTTTAAATAGTAAAACTATGTAAAGAGGAAAACAAGTATAATGGCAGAATCCTTCACGCATAGAACACGGCCCGAAATACTCAGGTATCTTGAATATTTCAAAGGAGCAAATAGCTATCCTATCTATATTACCTCAACAGAAAATCATTCTCCTAAACTCAGACTAAATTTTGGAAGGAGTGAGACTAGATTTTGCAGCCAGGGATGAGAGGAACAAACATGGCTTTGTCACATTTCCACCTCCAGGATTCTGGGCTGGCTCATGAGTTGATGCAGTTCCAAATTTAAATAAGAACAGCCCTGGAGGCTTCTCTAACATCGTGACTCTCCACACCCAGAGAAGCAGGCAGCCAGTGTGAGTTCCCCACCTTTCCAGGGGCAGTAGGGCTCAGGCTTCAGACTTCAGCCCTGGGGTGGTGGGTGGCAGGCTCCAGCCGTGGGGCTTTGGGCTCTGATCCTGGGCTCACCTGCTCCCCCCCCCCGCCCCCATTGCCCTGGTGCCTGCTGCCTCCCTATGCACCTCTCCATCCAGGCCTTAGTTTGTCCCCTGCTTGCTGGGGCTGAGTAAGTCTGCTGTGAAAAGCAATATTTGTATGTTTGTTAATATAACTTTTTACTGCCTTCCAGCTAGCTAGTAAGTCTGCAGTGAAAAGTAATATTAACAAACATACAAATATCAGTTTTCACAGCAGCAGACTTACTAGCTAGTGTGTCTTTAAAAAAGCAACCAACAAGCAAAAGAAACAACAACAAAAACAAGAACATGCAAAGCAGTTTATTTTGTTTCTATTCTGTTTAGGTCCAGTAAAGAATAGAGACAACTGTAATTATTTTTATTATTGAGTCTGCAAACAAACAAACCAAAAAAAGCCCTACATAGATTACAATGATTTGGACATGTACATGTGCAGATTTATTTGTTTTTCCTAAAGTTAATTAAGTATTTTAGGAAAAATTGTCAGAGAGACGACCAGCAAGAGTTGGTGGTTGCACTCTAAGGCCACCAAAACATTTCTTGTGACAACCCCTGCTTTAGGAGATGCACAAGTTCCACAGCTGCATAAGCCATGTAAACATGTATGGTACAGCCTTTCTTTGCTTAGAATGAAATTCATTCCTGTTTTCTCCCCTCACATACAGCTAAAAACTCTAGTTCAAGCCCTCATCATCTCATATCTTGATTGCTGAAACTTTTTCCTTTTTGGTGTTGCCAGATGGAGTCAGTTTTCCCTCAAGCCCTTTAATATATTCTGCCATGGGAGTAGCTCCCAGTAAAAATCCAGAAAGCCACTATATCTTCTTTTAAATCCCTCCTTAAAATTTTGCTGTGATATCTCCAATATAGGTGACAATGGCTAAGCCGTGATATGCCATAACTGCTTCCTATTGCACCAAATAACATTGTTTCACTATTACCTTGTCCTCCCAACTCATCTGTTCGAATTTCTCCACCTGTTATTTCTTGTCATATTATACAAATTATAAATTGTTGGAGCAAGAACTCTTGTGTGTGTATAGCATCCAAAACAATGGAACTTTGCTCCCTGAATGAGGCTTCTAAAGTGTTACCGCAACAAACATAATTTTAAAAGTCAAATTTTTCTAATGGTAAAAGTGCATGTTGTCTTCATTCATGTTTTCCATAGTCACCTTCAGAAAGAGCCTAGGCTTGGAAAAATTTCTGCAGAAAGCTGAATGTTTTGGGAAGTTTTGGACCACCAAACCATTCAAAGGGAAAACCAGAGAGAAATATAAACATTATTATGATCCCATTGTACCCCAGGAGCTCCACGCTGAAGGGATCACTTGTATCTGAACATTGAATAGATTGAAAGCCTGCATTGTGAATGGCCTAAATTCACCATGGCTACAAGAGGTGAAAGCAGGGTGTAGTTTTCCCACAAGCCCAGGTTCTTAGCTTTGCCCAATTTCCCTGGGGAAGGGAGGCGGCGGGTTCTGTGCCCGCCGGATGGCGCTGTAGGCTGGCACCATTTCCTAGGAACCCCAGGGCATGCCCTGATGCCGCACATCTGGGCGGGGCTGGCGCCCCCTTCTCCCCCGCTGAGGATGGTGTTCTCCTTTAGTCCGCGCAGCCACACAAAGGGACGGGGGGAGGCAGCCCCCCCGGAGAAAGGGGATGCGATGGAGGCGGTGCGTGCAGCTCCGGTGCTCTAGGGGCGCATGAGCGAGGCGCGCACGGGGCTAGAGGGACGCAGACACGGGGGATCTGCTCCTCTCGCCACAGGAGGCAGCCCGCCGCCTCAGCACTGAGTTTCGGCCCCCGCCGGCAGGCAGCTCAGGGCCCCGCAGGTAACAACCCCGGGCGGTTGCATGTCCCTGTGGCCGCGGCAGTAGCGCGCTCCGCTCCACGAGTCTCCAGCAAAGACATCGGGGGAGGAAATTCCGTTGTAGCAGCTGGCGGGGTGCTGGCCGGGCCCTGCCTATGCCCCGCTCGGGGAGGCTGGCCCCCGCTTGGCCCTCGCTCCACCTGCAAGCTCCGGATGCTGCAGGGGCAGGCTCCCGGGAGCTCGGTGGAAGGATGGGCACATGGCGCTGGAGGCGGGGGGCGGACCTGGACCTGGACCTGAGCGATTGCACAGAGGTGCTCTGGCTTCTCGCTGGGGGAGGGTTGTGGGGGTTCTTGCCTATGCCACGTCTTGGGGGCATTTCTGCTGCCTCAGGGCAGCAGCATGACATTGGGCCAGGCGAGGCCAGTGCATAGCTCATGCTCAAGCAAATTGGTAAGCAGGGTCTGGTATGAATGCATCGAGCATCTCTCTGTACAGAGGGCCAACTTCATCTGCCCAAAGAGCTGAGGAATTCAGCAAGTGAAAACAAAGATGGAGCGTCCAGGGCAAGTGGGCTGGATTTTTTACTCTTGTTTATTTTAAACCAGTCTGTGGACATCCTCAGCTACAAAGAGGCAGCAGAAATGTGCTTGTGCTGAGATGAAAGAAAAGAATTAGCAATACCAGTCCTTTTAATTCATAATCCGGTTTCCACAGAGACTGCAAGAGGCTGAGCTAATTGAAATATAATTGAAGGTTTAAAATTATAGTGGGTGCCTGCATTAAGGAGAAATTATTTAGATTATGCTAAAAATAAACTGAGCAGTTCAGGTTAGTGTTATCAGAAGATCTTAAAGATTCAAGCCCTGCTTGACAGGTGTCAGTTTTTATAAGACGAACTGCTTGGTTTCTTGCAATTGCAGTTCTTTTATGTGTTTATATATCTTTTGAGTTATCTGGCTTACTGGCTATTTTAAGACAACTGTCCCTGTTGTATTTAAGCACCAAACAAGGCATCACATTATATAACTGCACTCTGGGGATTTGAATAGTTAATTTTTTTTTCAGTGCTCAAGGGGCTTCTTGCTTAATACAACAGTAACTCAGACACAATTTTTTTTTTATTTCATTACACTGTAAAACACTATACTTGAATCCCATAATTAAGTAAAAGGTTAGGTAAGCCGTGCTTTGAATTTTCTTGGTAGACAAAAGTATAATGTCTCCAAGAAACTGAAGTCCTGCTTAACAGCAGACAGTCATGCAGTTTCCAACACCCAAAATTTTATAATTCATATGCCTTTCCTGACCTATTATAAATAGTGATTTTCTGGAAAGATGTTGAAATGCAATTGTTTTTGAAAAACAATCTATCTTGGAAAGTATGTCCTCAATACTGATGCTTCATTCCATATTAAGCCAAGTTTCCAAACCAAGTTTGGAAACTATATAAACATACTAGAGCAAAACCAATTTCTAATATAGTTCAGCCATCCAATGTGGACAGGCCAAAAAATGTCAGAATCCTATTTAAAGATTCTGTTTGGTCCACCCACTACAGGCTGACTAATCTTCAGCTGGAGCAGTCCAAATTCTGTTTCTTATCCAGTATGGATAGAATTTAAAGAGTCCTCTCCCTAGGCCATGAAGCTGGTCAAACCTTCTGCCCCAATAATAACTGAGCAGGAATAAACTTAAAAATGAATTAGGGTTTCGGAGAGTGCCCAGTATGAGAGGAAGAGTGCATCTCAGTGAGTTTTTGCCTTCAGTGTTGAAACGATACACGTGTGTATTGTAATTTGTATGCTCAAAACACTAAGTGTTGCCTAAATTTATTAGTGACCTAATAGGCATAGGACTGAACCTACTAGCTGGAAACCAGTATTAGGACAAGAGGTGCTCACCAGCAAAGCCCAGGGGGAGTGCAGTTGCATTGTTAGGGTATTGAACTGGAGTTGGGAGACCTTGCTATTTCTGCCAGACCTGGTTTCCCAGGTCCAGGCTGAAATTTCTGATCAGAACGAGCGAGACCCACCCACACCAGAATACTGCAGCTAATTGCCCAGTGGTTAGGGTTCTCACATGGGATGTGGGAGCTCCTGATTCAGTCTCTGCCTAATTCAGACCAGAGACTTGAACCTCAGCCTCCCACGTCAGGTGGGCGTACCATGGATTTATTTATTATCTGTCCCTTTCCTTATTGTTCCTAATATTCTGTTAGTTTTTTTGACTGCTGCTGCATATTGAGCAGATGTTCTCAGAGAATGATCCACAATGACTCCAAGATCTCTTTCTTGAGTGGTAATGGCTAATTTAGACCCATCATTTTGTATGTATAGTTTGCATTATGTTTTCCAGTGTGCATTACTTTTCATTTATTGACACTGAATGTCATCAGCCATTTTCACATCTGATGAAGTGAGCTGTAGCTCACGAAAGCTCATGCTCAAATAAATTGGTTAGTCTCTAAGGTGCCACAAGTACTCCTTTTCTTTTTGCGAATACAGACTAACACGGCTGTTACTCTGAAACCTATCAGCCATTTTGTTGCCCATTTACAAAGGGATCTCACAAAACTGAGTAATTCTTTGTAGTCAGTTAGGACTTAACTCTCTTAACTCTTAATTTTATATTCTTTGCAAATTTTGCCACCTCACGGTATACCCCTTTTTCTATATGTTGAACACCACAAGTCTCAGTACAAATCTCTGGGGGACAAATTTACCTCTCTCCATTCTGAGAACTGACCATTTATTCCTACCCTTTGTTTCTTATCTTTTAACCAGTTACAGATCCATGAGAGGACCTTCCCTCTTATTCCATGACAGCTTACTTTAATAGCCTTTGGTTAGGGACCTTGTCAAAGGCTTTTTGAAAGTCCAAGTACAATATATCCACTGGATCACCCTTGTCCACATGCTTGTTGACTCCTTAATCGAATTCCAATAAATTAGTAAGGCATGATTTCTCTTTACAAAAGCTGTGTTGACTCTTCCCCCAACAAACTGTGTTCATCTATGTGTCATTCATTCTGTTCTTTACTGTAGTTTAAATCAATTTGCCTGATACTGAAGTTAGGCTTACCAGTCTGCAATTGCCAGATTCACCTTTGGAGTTTTTTTTAAAAATTGGTGTCACATTAGCTATCCTTCAGTCAACTGGTACAGAAGCTGATTTAGGTGATAGGTTACATGCCACAGTTAGTAGTTCTGCAATTTCATATTTGTGTGAATACCATCTGGTCCTGCTGACTTATTACTGTTTAATTCATAGAATCATAGAAGATTAGGGTTGGAAGTGACCTCAGGAGGTCATCTAGTCCAACCCCTTGCTCAAAGCAAGACCAACACCAACTAAATCATCCCAGCCAGGGCTTTGTCAAGCTGGGCCTTAAAAATCCCGAAGGAAGGAGATTCCATCACCTCCCTAGGTAATCCATTCCACTGATTCACCACCTTCCTAGTGAAATAGTTTTTCCTAATATCCATCCTAGACCTAACCTAGACCTCCCCCACTGCTACTTGAGACCATTTCTCCTTGTTCTGTCATCTGCCACCACTGAGAACAGCCTAGCTCCATCCTCTTTGGAACCCCCGCTTCAGGTAGTTGAAGGCTGCAATCAAATCCCCCCTCACTCTTCTTTTCTGCAGACTAAATGAGCCCAGTTCCTTAGCTACTCCTCATAAATCATGTACCTCAGCCCACTAATCATTTTCGTTGCCCTTCGCTTGACTCTCTCCAATTTGTCCACATCCTTTCTGTAGTGGGAGACCCAAAACTGGACACTGTACTCCAGATGTGTCCTCACCAGTGCCGAATAGAGGGGAATAATAACTTCTCTTGATCTGCTGGCAGTGCTCCTACTAATGCAGCCCAATACGCTGTTAGCCTTCTTGGCAACAAGGGCACACTGTTGACTCATATCCAGCTTCTCGTCCACTGTAACCCCTAGGTCCTTTTTTGCAGAACTGCTGCCTAGCCATTCGGTCCTTAGTCTGTAGTGGTGCATGGGATTCTTCCGTCCTAAGTGTAGGACTCTGCACTTGTCCTTGTTGAACCTCATCATATTTCTTTTGGCCCAATCCTCCAATTTGTCTAGGTCACTCTGGACCACCTCAGTGTATACCCTAACACTCTGGATCCTACCCTCCAGCATATCTACCTTCCCCCCCTCAGCTTATTGTCATCTGCGAACTTGCTGAGGGTGCAATCCATCCCATCATCCAGATCATTAATGAAGATGTTGAACAAAACCGGCCCTAGGACTGACCCCAGGGACACTTTGCTTGATACTGGCTGCCAACTAGACATCGAGCCGTTGATCACTACCTGTTGAGCTTGACCATCTAGCCAGCTTTCTATCCACCTTATAGTCCATTCAGCCAATCCATACTTCTTTAACTTGCTGATAACAAATTTATCAGTTTGTTCCCAAACCTCCTCTGTTGATACCTAAATCTGGAACAATTCCTCAGATTTGTCACCTAAAAAGAATGGCTCAGGTGTGGGAATCCTCCTCACATCCTCTGCAGTGAAGACCAGTGCAAATATTCATTTAGCTTCTCTGCAATGGCCTTGTCTTCCTTGAATGCTCTTTTAGCACTTTGATCATCCATTGGCCCCCGTGATTGTTTAGCAGGCTTCCTGCTTCTGATGTACTTAAACAAAATTTGCTGTTGTTTTTTGGGTCTTTGGCTAGTTGCTCTTCAAATTCTTTTGTGACCTGCATAATTATACTTGACTTGTCAGAGTTTATGCTCCTTTATATTTTCCTCAGTAGGATATGACTTCCAATTTTTAAAGGACGCCTTTTTGCCGCTAATGGCTTCTTTTACTCTGTTGTTCAGCCATGGCGGCCTTTGTCCTCTTACTATTATTTTTAATTTGGGGTATACATTTAATTTGAGCCTCTATTATGATGCTTTAAAAAAATTTCCCTGCTGCTTGCAAGCTTTTCACTCTTGTGTTCCCTTTAATTTCCATTTAGTTAGCTTCTTCATTTTTGTGTAGTTCATCTTTCTG